TAAGCACTATTCCTTCATAAAAACTGAGTCATTGTGAGCATGTCCAGACTGCAAATGCTCCTTATTTGTACCACAACATACAGAATGTAAAACATTGGAGTTTTGAGATTGTTTAGTGTCTTCAGCCAAACTTAGCTTTCATAAGACAGCAAAAAATAAATTAAGAGTAAGAAAGAGGGTTCAGTTTGGCATGATTCTGATCTAGTTTGTACATGTTATTAGCTGTTAAGATAATCGAAACTTGCATTTGAGAATGTGACCATGTCACATGTACAATATCACCAGTAAATGGATTTTTTAAATCTAAATGTTATATACATGGAATCTCAACATTTTTCTTGACGTGGCTGAGTGATTTATCTCAACAGATTTCTGCACTTGGGATTTTCTTTACTCAAAGATGCTCAAAGGAAGCAGTTCAATGCAAACTCTCAATATGTCACATTTTGGCAGTGATTGCTTAATGCAGCAGTGCACAAATGAATTGCTCCACTGCATCCTCTGATCATGAATATGAATCGGAGTACTATAAACTGAACTCAATGTACTGATAAGTGACTGCATCTGATTGTGCCAGCAGCCAGATGATTTTCTCATTAATGAGCTGAACTATTAAAAGATGGAAGAATATGAAGCCAAGCCAGCATTGCCTGAGCCTCTTTGCTGACATTTTTCCAGACCTACCAGAAAGCTTTGTCAACCGGTGAAAGAAAATTCATCCCAAAAAATCTTTTCTGAATGAAGGCAAATAAAAGTTTCAAGGCTCAAATTCTGTTTTGGATTACATGGATGTTACTCCCTTGTCATTGCAGTGTTTCTGTTTTAGTATGGGACAATACAGATTTTGATATTAAGGAGTTATGGTCTTCCTTTGCTTCTCAGTCTCTGCTAATCTGTATATAGGAGCCCATGGCTGCCAGGAAAAGACAGAGAACCTCATTTAACTAAGCTGACTTCTAAATTCATTAAACTGAGACACAGATTTATGGAAGGCATGTGGCAAACACATCCTCTGCAATAAAAATAGGCCATTAGAAATATTTTTAATTTGTATATTTTCAGAGTGTTAGTCAATGTCAAGTACTGATGTGTAAAAATCCATTACTGTTTTATTGTTTGCAAGCATCACCATGTTGCTTTGCAGTTTAAATATGGCCCCATCTCAGAAGCACTTGAATACAAGTCCCAGAGTGAGGCATGTAGATCGCAGTTGCGAGCCCATAATGTTTCTAGAGCTTTACTCCTATAGAGACATGTGGCTAACTAAAAAATAAAAAATAAAAAATTAAAAAATTAAAATAAATAAAATAAATAATAAAAAAAAAGAAAAGTGAAGAGCACGTCTGCAGACACCACCACTGCTACGGCCAGTCTGCCTCTAGAGGGCATTGCAAGCTAAATGTTTTCCCTGACAAGTGTTGAGAACATCTTGGATCAGCCCAGAAGGCAATTCTTAAATTGCCTAAATTAAAAGATTTTGCTGTGTTTACAACATCAGCAATGCAGCGGACAGAAAAACTATTGGGCAGCAACACTGAAGGATCTTTAATCTGCTGAGCAATAGAAAATAATTTTGGTAAGAATATATGTTACCAGACATTTTCTAATATGAAGAAGCTTTTCTAACAGAAGCTTCTCAGGATGAGACAGGTCGTGAGCCAATTTTTGCACATAGCTGTTCCCTTTTAATGACTTTGCTTTCATCCTTCTATGAGCACGGCCATTCCCACAGGTGGCTGAATCCAAAGATCAGTCACTGGTCATTAGCAAGGAGGTACAAAGAGGCTTTGAATGCTCAGCACCTGGCGTGTAGGCCAGTGCACCTGATACAAACCAAATAATATTATTATTTGACTCTCTCAATATCTATGATCTGTACAAATTGCTCAGATATAAGTGACATCAAAGCATTATGTTTCAGGCTTTTTGTATGTAAGATAAAAATATCTAAGTGACACATCATGAGATGGTAGTGAGCTGGTAGGACAGACTCTTCCTAGTAGGGACTGTTTTCTAAATGTCTTATTAAGCCTCTGCAGACATCCACTAGCAAAAACCCAAAGAGTATTTTTTTTTTCTGTCCTCTGTACAGGTGAACTAAATCAGTTCAAATTACAAAAACTACTTTTCTGCTGCTGAAAAGCAAGGAACATTCTTGTCTTGCTGCATGCTGAAGGCAATACTTTGTCATTGCAGAGAACAGCACTCAGGTCCTTTGCTATAGTTCAGCTATGGATGTTTTACTATTCCCATTTGTTCAACTACAATTAACTGAAATACATTCAATATATTCTTCTTTTTCTGAAAATTGGTATTTGCCTTTTTGCCCTACCATCACAGTGATTCTTTTTGATTTTTAGGTACCACTGTGAGAGTTTTGCTAAATGTCATAGCCAGCTACATTTCTAAGAGGCTACAAGTCTTGCAGACTCTTCAAGGTCCAGGAGTCCCTTACAAATTTTCAGAGTGCTCAGCTCATTTCCCAGTGCCTTATTTCCTGGTGCTATTTTGTGTGTTAAGATTTTGTACAGTGATAATAGATATTAACATCTCTTATAAGATAGAAATGTCTTCTCTGAAGCACATAGCATGCTATAAAACAACAATAATAAGGAAACCCAGAGTATATAAAATGTAAAAAATATAATTGTCAAATATACTTGAAAAAGCAATTTGATAATTGAAACAGAAGGGTAAACCATATCAGGAAGAAAGTTATACAGGAATAAAGTAAAATGACCTACACAATCAGTATTTATACTGACAGTTGGTTACACAATAATAGCATCACAATTCTTCCTGTCTTCTTCATTATATTACTGCAGTGAATAGAAATATTAAAATTTTAGCTTTAACTGGCTTTAGTTAAAACTGTAAGTTTGCCACATGCAAGCATTTTGATTTAAGCAAGACACCAAAAAAAATGATCTCTAGAATAATTATCAAATGGTTTGTGTAAATGTAAGTAAGTGCTAAATGTAATTAATGAGAAATAAAAGGACTCCAGGATTATACTGTGGCTACATAAAATAGTTTGAATGCTATACGCCCATGAATGACATAAATTCTGTTTCAACTTCAGATAAAGAATATTGGATTCCCTGTGAAAAGCAATTTGAAAAAGATGTCCAAATTCCAAACCTCACAGTTAATATGTCAGCTACTCTATTAGCTTTGTGGATGTCTATTTATCTAATAAAATAAACAGACCTGGTTTTGTGTAAGAACATTTCTGGTTATCTGCTTAGAAACAGAAAAGTTTGGGTAGTTTTTTTTTGGCAAGAGGAGGAAAGGTGTGTATGTATCAAACAATTTCCGTTGGAAGTGTTGGGTTTAACCTCCCTCTGTGCTCTGGCCCCCCAGCCATAAGCACTCCCACCCTGCAGTACTGGCTGCAGTAGGCTGTGCTTTGTCCTGGGGGCAGAGATACTGAAAGGAAGAAAGAGAAAGATTAATCTGATAAAGGCACTGCCATTTCTAATCGGACTGATGGGAAACTGTGGTATGAAGTTAAAGAGGCAACACAGGGTGAATTACTGTGATGAACTACCTTAAAGCTGAAGCAATCAAATAGATAGCTCTCACATATAAAAATTACTGTGCCATCTTTATTCATCAACAGTTTTGCACAAGTGTCTCACGTTCAGTCCCTTCCAGGAACAACTAAAGCACTCTGATACATTGGATCAGATTAAATCTTATCTCGAAACTCAGCCACTGGGGTTGCTGCTTCCCACTTCCCCAGACTTAATTTCTCATAACAGCAATAAACTTTTTAAAGTTTGAGAATAACAAACTCCAAAAGGTAAAACCAGTACAGAACAATGCCTGCTCTTGCAACCTGCTGGAATAGAATTGGAAGGGCTTTTACTCTGGTGTGTGGTAGCAGTAAAACTTTTCCACATGGCTTGACAAGTGAAAACTTATGGAAGGGAAATTTGTGGCTCCTAGTTTATAGAATCAGAGAATGGCTGGGGTTGCAAGGGACCTTAAAGGTCTTCCAGATCCAACATCCATGCCATGAGCAGGCATACCTTCCACTAGACCAGGTTCAGAAAGCATTCATACAGACAGACATTTTCTTCACATTTATAGGGGCCATAAGAATCACATTTTAAAAAAAAAACCTAGTACTAAAAAGCTACCACTGAGTAACAGATAAACAATAAATATTTTATTCAAATATAGTAAAATTATATGAAAAGCAAATATAGTATCATAGAAAATTCAGCATAAAATTCCTGTCAAAATCTACTCATATGATTTTAAGAATTAGCTTGTAATTTGATCTTTAGATATGCTGAGGTCTTCCCATGATGCGGAATTCTTTGATCCTTGTGAAGTGGATGGGCTCTGAGGATACTCAACATTTTGCAGAACTGCTTGCTCATGAACAGAGGAAACAAGCATCAGTTTTGTGTCATCAGATGTGTTCTTCTGACCAAGCATCACATGATTTTGTACTCATGGCATATGGAACTAGGAGTAAATGCACAGGTACTGATAAAGCAAACTAAATGGAAATAGAAACACAGACCTAGTAATAAGGCATATATGTTTTCAGAACTTTATTTTTTTTTTTCAAAACTGGAGTTCTTTCACCCACAGAAATGCTAACAGTATTTAAAGTAATATGTTATCTTCCATTAAAAGCATAGCCTGCACTTCTGAAGTCACGGCTCAGTCAAGGATATCTAACACTGAAGATGATGAATAGCAGTGATGAACCAGATAAATTTATAGCTGTGAGGGAAAAAAAAGTGATCTAAATGTTTTCCTTTTTTAGTGTTAACCTCACAAATATGTAATAAATAAATGTGGCTCTGAGTATTTTACTTGATGACTCTGGTTTTGTATCCTAAATAAAATACAGCCATTTCAGAAATAATGTCTCTAATACTCTTTAAAAATATATATATATAATTTTTGATAAAGCTTGGAAGCCATATTACCTAAAGTTCAAGAAAATAAATTAAAATTATTTCAGACACAGTATACATAACAAAAAGCATATTTTATGGGACATTCAGTCAACATGCTGCCATGTATTTTCTGCAATACATTTATTGACAACTTTTCATGTGTCTCAAGCTTTTCAGTCTCCAGGACAATTACACTATTTGCCCAGTGCTGGAGTAAGTTTTTCCAAACTTTTCAAAGAGAGCAATTGATGAAAACAATGTTTCAAAGTCCTAAAGAAAAGAGAGAAAAAAAAAATTGTTAGGCTTAAGTGGGTTTGTCTTTTTTTTTTAAGGTATTTTAGAGTTCTAAGTATTGTCTTCTAGTTACATTTCATTACATAGATAGAATGCAAATTATGCAAAATAGTGAATATTTTTTGTAATTATATAAAAATTATAAAATATAATGTCATTTTACATTATATGAATATTACCTTGAAGAGGAGAAAAACAATGGATTTAATTGAAAGCAAATATGTATTTCAAACTCTCAGCAACTAGAAGAACTGCAGAAATTTCCTGCTCTAGAAACTATATTTTGCAAATCATCGTCTACAAAAGTTTATTCTCCTCCCTGGCAACCAGGCAGGTTAAAGAAAGCACAATAGCCTTGCTATATTTAAACTTTTCTACCCTGGTTAGCATTGTAATAGAGGTATTAAAACATCTCTATAAGAAATATTTTTTAAAAATTAATATATGTTAAGTACTAGTGGCAACAAATTGATTAGGAGAAGCAGGGTGATTCCTGAACAAGTTCTTTCCCCAAGTGAATTTCTTGTTTATTACATTCAATTTTTTAAATGCAAATGCTTAAAAATCTAAATTGAATAAGGGAAACACAAGTGAAGCTGTGTCTTAAGAGTACAATGTCAATTCAACCAACAAACAAGAAAGTAAAACAAACTAACATATTTTGATTTGTCCACTAAACTAAAAAATACTTATGGTAAATTATTAGCAAGTCCATGGTATTTAAGATTAAGATTTTAAAGACTTCTTAATAAAATTATTTTCTTTGAACTTGAACTACTGAGGATAATGTAACAATAGAAAATATTTGGTTTGCATTAAAATGGCTTTAACTTTAAGAAAGTAACATGCCACAGATGAACTCTCAGCTTTCTAGGATCTGATGATTCATTTTTAAGTTGTTCTGAATACTTTGTACTGTTTTCTATTGCCAACAAGTAGCTCTGTGAAAGTGGAGGAAATCAAAACATTTTCATGCAATGTCTGAGGCCATGAGTTAATGAAAGTGAAAAGTTTTATCTTTTCAACACATTTCCCAATTTGAAAGGTTTCATTTTCTCTTTAAAAGACAATAAAAAAAGGACATGAAACAGAATTATCATTCCCTGGACAATTTGGATTTAGCTGCTTCACAGACCACAGTTCAGCTGTATCTCTGTCAGCAGAGACCTCTGACTTCTAGTAAGCTTCATGCAAACACTGACTGGGCCCACCTGCCTTTCATCTGCCTTGCACGTTGCCAAACTGAGACCATATCATTTCTTACATCTCATACTTAATTTTTTTACTGTGATTCCTCCAAAATTCTGGTACATAAATCTTAAAATAGCAATGTAGACATACATTCAAAAATAAATAATCCATGTGTGGTGTGAAAGTGAGTACTATCCCATTTCTAAATGATTCACAAGATTTACTTTTTAATGTTTCTCTATACCTTGTAGTGGCCAATTTCTTATTCAACAGAAAGAGCCTATTTGCATACTTTCATATTCAACTTTTAGAACGGCATAATATTCTAATTCTCAGTGTCTGTTTAGCATCACAAGCACCTTCTTATCATAGGAAAAGTTTTCCATGTAATTATTATAAATACTATAGTATCTCCAACACAACTGCAAATGGTTTCCTTCTAAAGTGAAAGTAGTTATATTTAATTCAGCAAATGAACCAGACAAATTCTGTTCATGGGAATGGAAAAATCAACAAACCAGCTCTAGTTGCTGAGAAAGCAAGCAGATAATCCAGCAATAATTTAGGATTAAGCAGTAATTCAGAGCAGAACATGGTATCCATTATTTTTAAAACAGAAAGTATCTCATTAATTAACATGCAGGACAGTTACATACAGCTCAACAAATCGTGAATAGTTTAACAAGTGGTGAACTTTGGATGAGAAAGGGAAACCAGTGAAACCTGTGCACCCCCCATGTCAGGATAAAATCAGGAATGGGAAGGCTGAGCATTGCAGAGATCTTCATTTGCTGGAGCAGACGGCTTTTGCTATTAGGATTCCTGGCCAAACAAAAACAATTGGCTGCCAAAATTAGCTCCTTGGGACGATTTAGGAGCCTTTGAAGTGAACAGTGTTTTTGAGCTGGAACTAAGCCCAGGTCCAGCTTCAAACTCAAATCGAAATGACAAAGAGGAAATTTTTTGTGCCACACGCCCCCTCAGTGTAAGATTACTTTGGTTTGGCAGCTGTACTGTTTATCTTGTTATTTAAAACTATTCCACTAGATACTCACAACTGAGCATTTAAACAACTGGCTCTGATTATGACGACAGCAATTATGTTTGACCATATTCAGGAAACATTACAGGGTCTGATGGATAAATAAAAAAACTGCTGGCTTTAGAGTTACATTAATTAAAGAAGTTTAGGATGTATATTAGGTTAAAATTGCATAGTATGCATTTAAAATATAAATATCTTTTTGGGAAAGAGATCTTGTTTCTATTTTTTTTCTGCATTTGAAGATAAAGATTTTAATCAGATTTCAACAGAGGCATAAAGTAAGGCCTGAAAACAACACCTTGCCAAGACCTGCCTCACAGCACAAAGGGAAAGGAATTTAAAGCCAGGTTCTCACATCCATCTAATTAAATGGTGAAATGACTACTCCAAACTTGCATGGAAGTACAGTGATGAACTGCTCATTGATTCTGATAGCAATCATCATGAATTTAGGCTCTTTGCTTCATAGCATAGAAGTTATGAAGTTATGTAAATAATCCTTTTCAAGAACACAGGTTGTGACTGGAGGAAAAACAGGCTTCTTCAAAATTGTTTTCACCATCAGTTCCTTTCTGTCGGTAGCTGGAATGAACAGACTTACAAATATGAATTCACATATATTGGTGAGCTTGGTCTATAGATTTGCAGTCTTGGGATCACAGGAGCATGGAGCTGAGCTTTATGGAATTTTTCCACAATGAATTCTTAAGTTATGCCATATAATTCTCAGCATGAGACCTGTAATTCTCAGCACAGGGAATTACTTTGAAATTCACAAAAAAAAAGTTGATATAACACTTCCTTTTTGTCCAGCTTTGACTCCTTTCACTCTAGTAAATTGTAGGTGACTCAAGTTCAACTGGCAGATCTTCACAAGACCTATGGACCCTTTCAATATATTATATATTTGAGCTTGTGAGCTCATCAGTTCAAAACAATGGAGTCAGAAAAGGTGGCATAAAGCCACCAAAGATTTGACTCAATCAGCACTCTGATGTCATAGATTAGACTTGCCAAATGGTTACATAGTCTATATTTGGAATGTTATTAAAGCAAATTCCAAAGACATTTTTCATCTGACTACGCAGACTTACATAAATACAGATCACGTACAAACGCTGGCAAATGAACAAGACCTTGTAGACCTTCAGATTGGTTGGGAGGCCCTTGAAAATGACTTCTGTGATATTCTAGAAACAAATTTGTACTAACAGTGTTTCTTTTCAAGCAATTTTGAGAGTACTGCACAATATCCCATAATATAAAAATGCAGTTAAAAATGAGATAGGAATTACCAGTGAGTATCTTCTTGGAAATTTAATGAAGTAGAAAGCTGCCTCAGACCAAAGCAAGAACAGACAAACAGCAGTAGCATATTGACTCAGATTCTAAGGCCAGGGAGCACTATTATTACCATTTATTCTCAGCTCCTGCATACACACTTCAGGGTAATTTCATATATCAAATCTCTCAAGTCCATAATAATTATGAAAATGTTAAGCATGTGATAAACTTGGAACAATAAGCATAAAATAAACTCACATTATCTGATTTACAGGATCCTTTCTCTGTAATGATAAAACTTGTGTTTGCTGAATAAGAAGAGATTTGGTAGCATGAATTGAGACTAAATTTGTGTTAGGCTGTACAAATATAGATTTCCTTCATGGGTTAGTAGAAGCAACTTGTGCAGAAGTTTCAAATATAAATTGTATAATGAAAAGCATTCTCTGAAATGTAAAGCATTCCATCAATAGCAGATATTCAGAGCAGTGATTCCTCTTCTGAGTCAATCAAACAATACTAAAAACAGTGTATAAATGCATTATGTCAACCATGGCACCGTGTACTGTATAAAAGGTAAACCAACCCATGAAAAGTTTTGCATCTGAGAAAAACTCTTTTGTAGTGCTGGAATTGTATCTGTTGCTCCTATAGGGACATTAGGCCTCTTCTGTTCTTCTCTTTATAGAATACCTATTCTGAATGTAAATTCTGTTAGGAATTAATGGCAGATGGAATAACTGAAAGGCAAGGACAGCTGCTGGAATCATAATTCTATCTTCATGCTACTGAGTAGTAAAACCAGGAAACAATAATTTGAAACCACAGGTACACACCAAGATCTTAGAGGAGGCAGTGGAAAATTCTGCACAAATGGCCCTGCAGCAGATATGTTCTTAGTTTAGGGTAACCCACTGACAATCTTTCTTTACCACAAAGTCAGGAGACATCCCATGAGCACAGCAGCACTGCCAAGTGTCACTGCACAGCTCTCATCCACAACCCCACCTATTTAACACTAAGTGGTCATATTTAAGAGTTGCCTATGGTCCTAATTCTTGCAATAGTAAAATTAAAGTTTTAATTTGAGCTGTCATAGTAAGCCTAATGATCTGTTAGTAGCCACAGAGGTCTCTAACAAGGAAGCAAACCAGAAACAAGCTGTTAGACAAGTAAAATGTTGATCCAGCTAACTTTAATTTTCAGCAAATTTATCAATACTGGTTAACAATACTTCCAACTAGTACAGGGCCTTCTGACATGACAAAATGAGTGTAACAACCCATTCTGTCAATACAACACAAATGTCATTTCAAGTGCTCAAAACCCACTAAGCTACCCTAAAAAAGATTGATTTATCTGCTCCAATGTTTCTTTGGGGCAAACTTTTCTCACAACTGAAACCAATTAGTGGGCCTGGCACTTGTAGTGCAAAATGTAGGTCAGCATCAAGTAA